AATTAACGGGAAATTCTCTTCATACGCACGTGGGACACGTTGCTGATTGCACGTTCTTTACAGGAAGTAAGTAAAGTGAACTCACCATGGAGAGGTCTGGTCTGCCTATTGCATGTTTCGTCTTCAGACCCAAAATACAAAACGCCACTGAATCGCTTCGAGTATTCATAGAGATAAAACATCGGAATAAACGAACGGATACGAGATGTACTGTATTCATTTGGAGTGCAGAATGCATAAAGATAGCCTTCAGACCGCGTTACAGGTAGGAGCAGTTCAGGAAATGCATACAACTAAGCCATCATACACTTTGAAACTTACAAATGGAACAAGATGTAGTGTAACATTTAAAAGATACGCGTCTAACAGGCGAAAATACAATATGTAAATTAATGTTTAAATTTATAGTTCCATTTATTTAAATATTAAAGACCAGTTTAGTTACTAAGACGTTACGTTTAGCTGATCATTTCCATTTTGAGTTTCATTTAGCAAAACTACTTTTGTTTTTCCAAAGTCTATATCGATGTTAACTTACACCATAAAAACAATTTTAACAAAGAAACACCAAAGTTTTTCAGATCAGTGGTTCCTGTCTGATAATTCTTTCACAGCACAGGAATAGTTAAATATGTAGCCAATGTGTTTCTTAATAACCACAGTTTTCTTCCTGTTTCCAAAATGCAGTATCTTACATTCCTCTGCAACTCCATGGAGCACAGATCATGTTGAGGAACTAATAGCAATTTTGCTGTCATGAAATTCCAGAACTTCTATTGAATTCGAAGGTTCATTAAATTATCCGTGTCTGGCGTTAAGATAAACCGAGTCCACTCCAATGCCCTTTCTTCCAGGTCAGATTACATAACTAGCTAATTGCCTATATAATATGCTCCATTTTATTTAATGGAACAGCCATTTTAATTTATGAAATAGAATTTAAAATGTTTGGTCGCCTGTTATTTATTTTTATTTAGTGTTCTGTCTGACGACAGGTCCATATGAACAGGATCCTTCCACCCTTTACTCGGACTGGGACCTGTTCATATACGTTCTTGGCAGATGATCCAGAAGTGGTTTGCCATTGCCTGTTACAAAACATTATTGCTGAACTGAGACGAGTAAGTACAGTATTCTGCCACCAACAGAGCGGCTAATGAAGAGGGTGAAAGCACTTCATTTCTGAACGAAACAGCATACAGTTATGTGAAAGTCGCCAGTGTGGACAAATAATACCGGTGGCACAAATTTTTGTACTTTTTAACCCATTTTCATTACTTTAAGAGGAAGGGTACTGTTACACATCTACGTTTGTGCCCTCTGCAAGGACCTTCTACGAACGGTTTCAAGCCGAAGCTCGTCTAAATCCGCTTTCCGTAAACTTATTTCATCCGCGGCGTACACTGATTTGTCAAATACACGTCGTGGCACTCCACGAAGTTGCGCCTCTCCAAAAGAGAGTACGAAGTTATAATACGTGTCTACATATAAATACTTGCCCTATAATAATGCCGACATGGAAAAGAATTACACATGTTAGATGAAACTAATGATGATAAACCAATGTAAGAGTGCCTATTAGAAGTCTAATTATGAAAAATTAGACATCGCCTTTTTCTTATTGTTACGCGCGAATATTCAATTACTTAAAAAAAATGCTCTGCTCTTTAGAAACACTGTAGCGGTACACCGGTTGCGTAACACTGATCTAAATAACACAGTCCGTACCTCAAAGAAAACACAACTCGGCTATTACAAAGATCAAATGGTTAATGCTGTTGGAGGAAATAACTGCTGTTCAATCTGAGAATCATACAAAACCTGTCGTATCTTTATTCGCTCTTGGTAGCTTCTCTTTTGTTTGCCCTCCATACGTTGCCTGGAATTCCGTAACATTGACGGTCTCGATCCGACCCGAAACAGAACAAAGGAAATTAGTCTATTTCATCACATTGCTTTATATTTTAAAGTTATTTTAATGCTTCGATGTAACTGGTCTTGTTTGGCAGTTATTATCATTATTATTATTAGGTGGGGAATATTACAAATTGTGAAGTTCCTTACATTTCGAAATACAAAAATGTGTGTAATGCCAAAGGCAGTTAATTCTGTCATTTCTGCCTTGTAACAAACCAACTAGTTGCGTGCAGGTTTTATCTATAGGCCCACATCTTACGCCACGTTGAAATTTTCCACACTTCCTGGACTCCTAGCTTCCTGGAAGGTCGCTGATCTCTTCATACGTACAGCTGCCTATTTTTTTTGCTTTGACGGCTGGCTTCTTGTCTCTTAAAGCCTTTCCTACTTTAATCCTCTGGATCCCAAGATTCTCTAAGTAATATTTAAACATTCAGTTCGTACCGCAAAAAATACACAACCCGCCATGATAAAGATAAATTGGTTAATACTGCGTAAGGAAATGACTAACTGTGTGGGACAGGGTCCTTCTTGAGAAGCTTATAGCCACTCAGCTAGTCAAGAAATTAACAGTTTTTCATGGATCCCGAAAGTTCATTGTCATTTTCACAAGTGTCAACCACCGGAGAGTAAGATAAATCGAGTTCGAACCCTCACACCGCATTTTTAAGATTCATTTTAATATTGTCCTCCCATCTGCCTAGGTGAGCAGAAAAGTAGCATAATTTAATTTATCGAGGACTGAAGATGTCTGTCTTCTGGGATGTTTTACCGTTATAATGGAGTCGGCAAGCACCTCTGAAAAGTCGGTAAATTTCTACCAGACTGCACAACGTAATATTGCGGAAGACAGCCATCTTCATACTCTCCACCGTGAGAACCTGAAATCTCACTCACTGAAGACTGGTTTTAAGATTATTAGATACACTGTACACAAACCAATCATTCTGTCTCACATTAAGAGATGTGATACAATGCCAATATGTCTCAATGATGATGATCATTCTGTCTCACATTAAGAGATGTGGTACAATGCCGATATGTCTCAATGATGATAATATTCTGGGTTTTGGCGTCGTAGATACCAACGTTTAGGAGAAACATATTGTTTCCATCTTCAGGGCAGAAGATGGCGACAGTATGTCTACAGTCTGCGGAGCGACAAAACCCAGTCTCACCGCCGTGAAAATCTCAAATTTAAATACATTCCAATCTGTAAATTGTCTGTTACTTCCTTGAATGGATGTAAGTTTGCTTTTGAGCTGGTCAGACTCACCTGGGAGCCCGGGGGAAGCGGTTGTCCACACAGACAGCTGACAAAGCAACAGCGCCTCTAGTTTCCACATTCCCTGTAAGAAACGTCAACACAAGGTGACTGACCGAACACATTACATAATGATTGGACTGGTTGCAGGTATGAGTGAACGGGGAAGGATTTAACAGCAGTCAGCAAATGGTTCCTGACTAGAAGAAGTCACGCCAATGATACATAAAACTCCGAAAATTTAATTAATGAACTCTTAGGTATGCGAAATGTTTCCGGAGGTTTACTATAAAAAATTAGTAATTATTGTTATTATTCTAGGCACATTCGCAATTATTGTATGTGCGTTGCATTGTTAGCCTATGGCAGTTCCGTTTCAATTGTGAAGAAAAGTGATTGGCGAAATATTGTTTAAATTTGCATAGTAAAAGAAATGGTAGTGCAGAATGGGCGTCTAATATGATATGAAGAACACCCGAGAGAAATTATAGACAAATTGATATAGACACAAAAATGCATTAATTTTATTTAAGTAATACTTAAAAAAAATCAGTCCGTTTTTTTAAAATAAAGCACAACTCTTATCAATTACAAAGATCAAGTGGTTAATATTGCTTAAGAAGACAACTTCCGTTTATTTTTAAAATCATAAGAACTCCGTATTCACTCTGTGAACAAAGTTAAGAGGCAATGATTGTTCAAGTTGATGCTATATATTTCCTACTGTTTTTCATACAAATATTTCAAACAAAAAAAATCAGTTTTTAATATATATTATAAAGTTGCACGTACGACGAGCCGGGTAATAAGGTATAAAGTATTTAGCAAAGATTTAAACTTTATGTGAATGGCGGTTTATACAGGACATATAACAAGCAAATTCCACACAGCAGAATTAGTCTTGAGAAGATAGTAGTCGTTCAAATTGACAAGAAATTCTCCGCCCATCACCGGTACGTATAACAGCCACATGAATCCAATACACGTACCCCGTTTCATTCTACAAGATTCAACTTAGTATTATTCTCCCACCAACGACTGGGTCTTCCAAGTGGTTTCTTCCGACCGTGTTATATTAGACTGATTCGAACCAAAATAAGATTCCTGATAGTAGGATTTGAGGTTTTCACAGTGGTGAGTATGAAGATTTCTGTCTTCTGGGTTGTTGCGCCGTGTAGTCTGGTCGATATTAACCAACATTTCAGAGGTCATACTGCCTCCATCATCAGGGCGATGAGTATGAAGATTTCTGTCTTCTCGGTTGTTGCGCCGTGTAGTCTGGTCGATATTAACCAACATTTCAGAGGTCATACTGCCTCCATCATCAGGGCGATGAGTATGAAGATTTCTGTCTTCTCGGTTGTTGCGCCGTGTAGTCTGGTCGATATTAACCAACATTTCAGAGGTCATACTGCCTCCATCATCAGGGCGATGAGTATGAAGATTTCTGTCTTCTCGGTTGTTGCGCCGTGTAGTCTGGTCGATATTAACCAACATTTCAGAGGTCATACTGCCTCCATCATCAGGGCGATGAGTATGAAGATTTCTGTCTTCTCGGTTGTTGCGCCGTGTAGTCTGGTCGATATTAACCAACATTTCAGAGGTCATACTGCCTCCATCATCAGGGCGATGAATATGAAGATTTCTGTCTTCTAGGTTGTTGCGCTGTGTAGTCTGGTCGATGTTAACCAACGTTTCAGGGGCCATACTGCCTCCATCATCAGGGCGGTGAGTATGACGATTTCTGTCTTCTGGGTTGTTGCGCTGTGTAGTCTGGTAGATGTTTACCACCGTTTCAGAGGTCATACTGCCTCCGTCATCAGGGCGAGTGCGAAACTGGTCTTTATCCTATGCCAGCTGTTTCCATTCCACAGCCTCACACCCTGTTTCCTAAAAATCTATTTGTCCTATCCAGCCCTAGGTGTTAGATGTGGTCTCTTCTGAAGGCAGCAATCTTCAGACTCACCGCAGTGAAAACCTCAAATCCTACGTGGTCTCTTCCCTTCAGTGTTTGCGACTAAAATTCTGTTTTTCTCATCTTTCCGATGCTTGCTACATACACCAACAATCTTATCTTCCTTGATGTGAGCATCTTAATATTTGGCGAAGGATATGCATTATGAAACTCCTCACTGTGCGCTTTTCTGCAGCGTCCTGTCGCTCAAAACCCTGTTTTCAAACTTCCACATTCAAGTTCTTTCCTCTTCGTATGAGAGCCAATGCGTGACGCTTTGTGGGTTGTACTCATCCACAAGGAAGACAATCTATTCCGGCTGCAACTCGAAAGTTGTTTTATTGCCAAGACGTTAGAATCTGCCTTAGAGTCGCCTGTTATCAAACTAATTATCACAAAGACACGCCCAATTCTTGTGTAATTAACAGTTGTGTGCGAAGAAATCTTCACTGACAACAGAGCTCGCTTAGTGTAACACTGTCATGTTGGCTGCCCTGATTAAAGTATACGATTTCAGTTTGTCTGTTCACTTGTATTTAAGATCACTCAGTCCACCACAGACAAACTCTTAACGTACATGAGAAGATGAAGAATGTAATTCATAAAGTTTTCCTGATGAAAGAGGTTCTGATAATCGAGTAATTGCAGTAAAATCATTACGTCTGCATACGAGAAAACGTAAACTATTCCAGAAGAACACTTTCACGAGGTATAACCATACATTTGATGCTCTACAAAAATGTTTACGTAAACTGTGCTACTTTATATCAATGGTTTTATTTAAATTATCTGTACAAAATATTAATTCGGTGACCTGACTTTGTCCTCCGGCCCTCATTTTAATGACGCTTGTAACGGAATGGTTCATGTAGGCTTGCGCTCCACACAAAAACGGATAAAGCCTAATATTTCATACGTGAATTCAAATATGAATCCATAATAAGACAATACATGTGACACACAATAATTTTATTCCTTATATCTGCGTTCCATCAACTCTTCGTTTCTCGGAAAGAAAGGTTTGTTTCGACTTAGTCGTCCTTATCGAGGTCAAAAATCGTGAGCTTCTTCAGAAGAAACCACAGTGTTATGACGTCGCTTTTTTGTCAAATGGATTACGGGAATACGTGACGCGCATTTCTCCAACCTGGCGTACTTGTAAGGCCGACAACTTTGGATGAATTATACAGGAACACATCACTGCAAATTGCTTTCGTCAGAAAGAACTGGCTTTGTAAGGCTGCATTGTTTTTTTTTACTCCTGGCAGGCATTACATCCAAACCGCGAAATCACATTTCACTTTGCAGCTCTACAGTTCGATGGTATAAGGCAGATCGCATCAGAGGCAAAGAAAATATTTTTAAGTATGGAGCAAATAGCATTAACATGTGAGTAAAAAATAAATTAACTCGTCACGTGGTGCTTCTAATTTTGAAAATATCTGTCATATCTCACGCCGTGCCATAAGCTCGGATTGTTAGTCGCCTGTTTCTCACAGCAGAGGTCAGGGTTCGCTCCGAGGGCTGTCCATGTTGGACTACATGACAGTGGGACAGGTTTTCCTCCGAGTGCTTTGGCTTCCCCTGTCAATATCAATCCACCGTTGCTCGAGAGATGGACAAATGGGCCAGTGGCAGTCTCGCCCGGTCCTAACAGCGAGCAACATTTGAGTATAATCCAATAGTCTTATACTGACTGCGTCTAAAATGACCCAGAATACAAAGCGTGGCTGTATAATACGAAATATAAACCCCAATTATAGATATATAATCGTTATTTAAAACATTTTTCTGTGTGGTGTGTACTTAACGAAAGAACAAGGGAAATTGCTATCTCTCAAGGCGGCTAAATATTCTTCTGTTGAATAACTTTATTAACAGTACAAATTAAACTGCGATTTTCTGCATTGTGACTACATTTAATCTTAAGGTGGTTCTCGAAGTGGAGGGAAAACAGAAGTTGGTAACCACCTAAAAGACGTCGTAACTCAATAGACCAATTGACTTTCGCCGTAGTGGAAACCTAAGACCATCTGTTGTAGCTCTTCTATGCCAACGACACACACATACAGGTTACTGAAATAAATTGCCGAGACGACTGAACGGTGTAAAAATTTAATTCGGGAAAAGTTTGTTCCTTATCGAGTAACCTTCACATCCTCTGTCTTTCAAGAAATTTCAAATAACCGAATGACATCTGCTGCTTTCTGTCCTTTCCTTTCAGCTACTGTCCTCATAATCCCATTCTAAAACTTTACATTCGCAAATAAATTAAAAGCAGGTTATTGGGGAATTCTTGCTAACCATTCACTTTAGAAAGTTTTGTGTTTCTGTCTGCTATGTAAAAGTGTAAAAATACAACTATAATTTGACCTATCGTTTTGTACGGTTTCAAACTTGGTTTCTTACATTGGGAAGTAATGGACTGAGGGTTTTTGAAAACAGGGTGTTGGGGAGGTTTTTGGATCAAAGAGGGAGGTAGCGAAAAGGGACTGGAGGAAAATAAATAATGAGGAGCTTTATAATTTATGTAGCAAGGACCTCTGAAACGTCGGTAAACTTGTGTTAGATTACAAGGCTCTGAAACCTACGAGACAACCATCTTCAGACTCAAATCACACATGTATTTTCATGTTTGCATGCGTGTTATTCCTTTAGGACGAGAGGCCACGTTTCACAGGTAAATATTAGTTTCAACTTTATATTTATAGGAAAAACAACGCGAAAACGAGGCTGACTGAACCAATCAGCTACAAGCATCTCGAATTTTATTTGCTCTTATTTTCTTCATTAATGTAGGCTAATTTTTATAACTGTCGTTCCAAAATATTTGACTTTGCTAAGGGAATATTAATTTAATGATTTTACTAAATGCAACCAGAAAGATGGCAGAGAAATCTTTTAAATTTAATACGTTGGATGTACCTAAAAGTGGAGCCGAGTAGTTAGCATTCCTACTTCGTATCGTGAAGTTCCGGGTTCAAATATCGCCCCGGGGATATGTTATCCTAACAGATTTTTCGTGTATTTCCTTAAGTCCCTTCAGGAAAATGGTGGGATAATTGTTCAAATAAGGCCACTCCATTTCCTTTCCGATTTATTATCCATCAATCATCCTACTACCCCGACTC